CTGTGGGTAATTCTTTCTTACTTCATGTTTGCCAGATTGAAGACCATTACACAGATGCCAAGGAGCTGCTGGAGTGCAACAGCCCGAACAGCCAGACAGCTGCTGTGATGTATTTAGTCCTTCAGGAGAAAAGATTATTTGAATTGACACATAAAACTGATCTGTGTGTTCTGCAGCATGCAGTGGAAGTCCTGCCCCTAGAGCCCGAAGCCTGCAGCCCTCCAGGTGCCCACAGCCCTCAGGGTCCCTGTCTGCTCAGCACTACAGTCTGTGCCTTGCACTGTGCCGGTGCCACCACGTAGCTGTAAGCAAACACAGGCTACGGAGCACTGCAATAATGCACAGGCCATCGAGAATTAAGAGCATCGGGCAATTAAAAGCCAGGTGAATTGCGTGGTGACTCCAGCGGACTGTGCGCACCGAGCACACACGGATGGAACCTGGTGCACTCATTAGCCTGTGGCATATTTCATGCCCGACTGTTCTGTGGGCAGCCATGAGCTGGTGTTGGGAGGACAAGAAAGCAGTACACAGACAGAGCAGCAGGAAGAACAAAACAGGGTGCCCATCAAAAGTGCTTCACAAACAGGTAACAAGTTATAGTGTACAGGATTAGATGCAGGTTGAGTCCGGAGCTTCACATCTGTGGCACCTTGCATCAATACGTGAATGACTGCATTTAAAAAACCAAGAAACAAGTGACCAAAAAAAAAGTGTTAAGGGGTCATTGATCATTAGCTGCTGTTTCTGTCAAACACAGAAGGAGTGCAAGGCAAAAGCACTGTCAGGGTGCCATCCCAGCCAGTACAGAACCACACTGTGGGTGAGCTGAGGTGACCACTCTGATCAGGTTAACCAGAAGTATAGTGACTTTGGAGGCACAGTGACAATTTCAGTGTAGCTGTAAGTCCGAAGTCCCTCTCTTTGTTTTGTCTAGTTTCCAACTTCAACAGCACAGGCATTATGCATCTGCAGGACCAAATCTGTGCACGTACCCTATGACCATCTTGTAACAGATGTTCTTGCAACCACAAGCAGCTCTAGCTCCAAATCACAGCCACAGAGAGTTGTTCTTCATCAACCTCTCTGCCTGTGCCAAAGCTCTTGCTGTTTCTAACCTCATACTTTATCAGCTGACGGGCCTTGACAAAAGGAACACATGCCACCTCCAGTGTGATTTGATGATCATACATCACAGTGGGATCTCACCAGTGACAATCTGCCCTTCCCAAGGCACTGAGAATCTTTTATCGCCTGCCCACTGCCCTGAAGCTGTAGATCAAGAAGACAAGAAAATGTAATAAATCTCAGAACCATTTTAGTGAATCAAAGGAGAGACAAGGGTGTCTCTGGCTGTGTGGTTTTCAGAACAATTATGGGACTGAGTCATGCTGCAAATTTTTTGGACTCATTGATGGGGACTAGACTAGAGAAGGCACAGTGTGTGAAGCTGACTTTGCCATGAACCATTTAACATGCTGTCTAAGAGGGCACAGGAATATATGAGTATAGTGGCAAAAATATGGGAGATCTATAGAGCTGCAGCAAAGAGAACTAGTTATAGGATGGATAAGATTTTAATGTTGGGATTGGAGCAAAAGGGAAAGGTGATAATTTTCAGAAGGGATTAGGGCTCTGACTCCCTTATTGTTTGTAGGCCTTTCAGCCACGGGATGAGCTGTGTGATGGGAAGAAGGGGAGGGTGGGGAATGTCTGATGAGCTGTACCATGTAAGGACAGGTTATGACAAAGACTGCAGCAGGGGAGCAGGCTTTCTAAGAGTGGATCATTTGAGTACAAATCCTCCTTCATGGTCTACCCTTTGACTACTGTAGAAACATGATTCCTTCTCTGCTGCAGGGGCATTTAGTCAAGCAGCCACAGACCATGGCCAAACATCCTCATGAGACCCTTGCAAAAGGTTGTGCTGGGATGTCTGGGATGTGTGACTGTCCCTAGCTTTGGTGAGCCCCATGTTCAAAGTGTGAGACACAACAGACCTGTGTTTGGCTGTGCAGCAGCAAAGCCGAGGAGCTAATCCAGGAATGAGAACATCTGGCTTCATAACATCTGGCACATAGATATAGCAGATGTATCGACCACACGTACATACAGAGCTAGAAAGCCCTTAATTCAACACACACATAGTTTAAATACAATGGATACAAAATAGAATCTCACTTTCACCCAGAAGGACTGAAACAAAAGTCTTACTTCCCCTCACTTAATCATGTTTTACATATACATAATATTATCCTCTTTGTGCTGTATTCACCACAGCTTTGACAGCCTCTAAACACCTAAGAAAGCCTGGGGCTATGTGTTTTTCACTTTGTATATGCTACAACTACATACAATTTCAGGAAGTACTGGAGGATGTCTGCTTGTCTTTTACTTGAAAATAATCTTTTACACCCTTGATTCAAGAAAGCTCCTTGTCATTCTCTCTATCAGATTTCACTCAGCTCTGTCAGCCACACAGCATTAAAGATGAACACAGATAATTCTATTACTTATCCATGATGTTAATTTTATTTTACTGTTTCCTGTGTTAAAATCACAAAATGACAGAACATTCTCTCATTAAAAAAAAAGGAAAGGAAAAAAAAAAGAAAAAACCAAATCCAAATGATGATACTTGTAAGATAATGGTAGGGGATGTGGCAAGCAAAAGTAGGTTAACGGACTGAACGACACGTATTTTGCATCAGTTATACAACAGTCTTGTGAATTGTCCTTAATTGGTTTTGGTTATGTCAGGCCTTTATTTAATTCTCCATCACTTTTAGGAGCCCTGAGGAAACACACTTCACAGAGAGAATATTCTGACTGACTTTGAAAATGTGGTATTGTTGAGCAGAAAGACTCACTGAGCAGACTGCTAGTTTCTTTCAGCAGCAGGAGAGATGCAGGAGGTGATTAGCTTTGTTCTCATTTACAAACCACCAGTGGGAATTTCTAAAGGGTTTCACAGGCCCTGGGGATAAGGCCAAGAACAAAACGGGGCAGAGAATAGAGCACTTCATCAATAAACTACTTAGAGATGCCACATCAATAGCAAATTAGGAAGAAAGGAAGGCATTCTAATACTTTCACATAGCAATGGAGGTTTATATATTGTTTTTATTCCTACTTGACTTTTTTTAAACAACTGCACCTCTATCAAACTAAGCTTAGTAGAGGGAATGGAGGCAATACCAACTCACCACAAGGCTATTTGATAAGATTTGAAAAGGAGACATGCACTGCTTTGTGCTAGTTCTACAGCGCTGACCTCTCCCAAGGGTTACTACCACCAGCAACTCCATCCCCGGAAGGGCTGGGAAGAGAGCACACCAGTGGGAAAAGGCTACCAGGAACTGCCTGACTGCTCAGCAAAGATGCTGAAGTACTGCTGCCACAGCACCCCCTGCCCGCATGTCCCCACAGAGGACACCATCTGCTCGCCAGACACAGGTGTGGATGGAAAGCTAAACAGAAGAGGCAGAGAGACAGTTTGTCATTCATACCTCGGTTTTTTGTAATAAATGGTGCTTCTAAAATGTTCATTGTACCTAACCAGAGGGGAGGAAAAAAGATGAACGTTTAAAATAATTTTATAGTGGGTAAAAAATCAGCACAGACCTATGGATTTTTCAATTGTAATAATGTCAAGGCATTTTGTTTGGATTTTAAAGCTGCAATAAACCACTAGCAATTAGCTTATTTTCCGAACACGGATCTTACTTTTAACCATAAAACAGAGTTTTCGTTTTAGAAAAGCCTCCAGGAACTCAATTTTCTAGGCTGAAACCTTCACTCCCCCAAAACTCATTTGGTAACTTTTTGCTCAGAAGATCAAATGAAAAATACAAAAATAAATCCTGCTTTAACTAAACTGCATTTTCAAGTTTAAACCAGCTTCAAAACCATTCCACATCAACCTTACTCAACAGCAGCTGATAGAGACTAAAGGAAAGAGCAACAGAGGCAGTTTCACAGCCAGATCATGCAGTCTCGGGTGGGGATGCTACAAACCTGCTTCAGCATCCTGCATGACTTCTGACAATAGAACAAAATGGGAAACAACAGAGAGAAACACATCAGCTAATTTACTCCTTGGAGCATGAAGTGGGATGATATTTTGGTAACCATTCTACAGCCACACAGTATACAAATGTTTAGAAGACACAGGGTTTATCCTATTTTGTGGTAGTATTTGAACAGGAAGGTCCATCTGGACGGATGCTCCTGACATCAGATGCTCTTTGCCAACAAGCAAGTCTTTCTGGAAACCCACCAGCCTCCTAACACATCCCCAGTGGTTAATTCTTTTTGCCTCATGAGATTCTTGTCAAAACAGCTAAACACTCGAAAGACATTTGCATCCTTGATATGGGAGGCTTAAGATGCAGTCCCTCAGTCTTTGTAAGCAATGCCGAGAGCTTTTCTTCCTCTCGTCGATTCCTTCAAGGAACCGGCCATACCACGGCTCTTCCTACAGAACACTCGACACCGAACTGTGCCTGCAAAGCCTTCCGGACACGGATCACCATGGATGAATTCGAGCTTTCCGTCGGGAATCTCCGCAGAGGATCCGTGCCAGCGCCCTGCAGCCGTGACTCGTGTGATTGTGACCTGCCACCTTCCACAGCCCCTGCTCCCCCCACTCCAGGGATAGGCTCAGTGAGGATTCTCGAGCAGACAGGGGCAATTACAAATGTGAGGAGCACAACTGTTTTAACTGTGGGCACACAACCCAAATGGAAAGCCTAACGCAGGTGAGCTGACTTCAAGAGGGATGCTTGACAGAGACCACGTCTTTGCCCTTAGGAACGACCACTGGGCATGAAACCCGGGAACTGCCACCTTCCCTTGGCTCTCAAGAGGACAAAAAGGGGGATCGCGGCCCACTCTGCACCCTCACGATCCAACCCCCGTGCCCAGGGAGGCCCGGCGCGGCGCGCGGCAGCAGCGCCGCCCGGCTCCCCGCAGCCCGCGGCAGCTC